CACATACCTACACACGTACCAGCTCTCCCACATACCTACACACGTACCAGCACACCCACATACCTACACACGTACCAGCTCACCCACATACCTACACACGTACCAGCACACCCACATACCTACACACGTACCAGCTCACCCACATACCTACACACGTACCAGCTCACCCACATACATACACACGTACCAGCTCACCCACATACCTACACACGTACCAACTCACCCACATACCTACACACGTACCAGCTCACCCACATACCTACACACGTACCAGCTCACCCACATACCTACACACGTACCAGCTCACCCACATACCTACACACGTACCAGCACACCCACATACCTACACACGTACCAGCTCGCCCACATACCTACACACGTACCAGCTCGCCCACATACCTACACACGTACCAGCTCACCCACATACCTACACACGTACCAGCACACCCACATACCTACACACGTACCAGATCACCCACATACCTACACACGTATCAGCTCGCCCACATACCTACACACGTACCAGCTCGCCCACATACCTACACACGTACCAGCTCACCCACATACCTACACACGTACCAGCTCACCCACATACCTACACACGTACCAGCTCGCCCACATACCTACACACGTACCAGCTCGCCCACATACCTACACACGTACCAGCACACCCACATACCTACACACGTACCAGCTCGCCCACATACCTACACACGTACCAGCACACCCACATACCTACACACGTACCAGCTCACCCACATACCTACACACGTACCAGCACACCCACATACCTACACGCGCACCAGGTCACCCACATACCTACACACGTACCAGCTCACCCACATACCTACACACGTACCAGCTCACCCAGATACCTACACACGTACCAGCTCACCCACATACCTACACACGTACCAGCTCACCCACATTCCTACACACGTACCACCTCACCCACATACCTACACACGTACAAGCTCACCCACATACCTACACACGTACCAGCTCGCCCACATAACTACACACGTACCAGCTCACCCACATACCTACACACGTACCAGCTCACCCACATACCTACACACGTACCAGCTCACCCACATACATACACATGTACCAGCTCACCCACATACCTACACACGTACCAGCTCACCCACATATCTACACACGTACCAGCTCACCCATATACCTACACACGTACCAGCTCACCCACATTCCTACACACGTACCAGCTCACCCACATACCTACACACGTACAAGCTCACCCACATACCTACACACGTACCAGCTCGCCCACATACCTACACACGTACCAGCTCACCCACATACATACACACGTACCAGCTCACCCACATACCTACACACGTACCAGCTCGCCCACATACCTACACACGTACCAGCTCACCCACATACCTACACACGTACCAGCTCACCCACATACCTACACACGTACCAGCTCACCCACATACCTACACACGTACCAGCTCACCCACATACCTACACACGTACCAGCTCACCCACATACATACACACGTACCAGCTCACCCACATACCTACACACGTACCAGCTCACCCACATACCTACACACGTACCAGCACACCCACATACCTACACACGTACCAGATCACCCGCATACCTACACACGTACCAGCTCACCCACATACCTACACACGTACCAGCACACCCACATACCTACACACGTACCAGCTCACCCACAAACCTACACACGTACCAGCTCACCCACATACCTACACACGTACCAGCTCACCCACATACCTACACACGTAGCAGTTCACCCACATACCTACACACGTACCAGCTCACCCACATACCTACACACGTACCAGCTCGCCCACATACCTACACACGTACCAGCTCACCCACATACCTACACACGTAGCAGCTCACCCACATACCTACACACGTACCAGCTCACCCACATACCTACACACGTACCAGATCACCCACATACCTACACACGTACCAGCCCACCCACATACCTACACACGTACCAGCTCACACACATACCTACACACGTTCCAGCCCACCCACATACCTACACATGTACCAGCCCACCCACATACCTACACACGTACCAGCCCACCCACATACCTACACACGTACCAGCACACCCACCTACCTACACACCTACCAGCACTCCCACATACCTACACACCTACCAGCTCGCCCACATACCTACACACGTACCAGCACACCCACATACCTACACACGTACCAGCTCACCCACATACCTACACACATACCAGCACACCCACATGCCTACACACATACCAGCTCACCCACATGCTTACACACGTACCAGCTCACCCACATACCTACACACGTACCAGATCACCCACATACCTACACACGTACCAGCTCACCCACATACCTACACACGTACCAGCTCACCCACATACCTACACACGTACCAGATCACCCACATACCTACACACGTACCAGCTCACCCACATACCTACACACGTACCAGATCAGCCACATACCTACACACGTAGCAGCTCACCCACATACCTACACACGTACCAGCTCGCCCACATACCTACACACGTACCAGCTCACCCACTTACCTACACACGTACCAGCACACCCACATACCTACACACGTACCAGCTCACCCACATACCTACACACGTACCAGCTCGCCCACATACCTACACACGTACCAGCTCGCCCACATACCTACACACGTACCAGCTCACCCACATACCTACACACGTACCAGCTCACCCACATACCTACACACGTACCAGCACACCCACATACCTACACACGTACCAGCTCGCCCACATACCTACACACGTACCAGCTCGCCCACATACCTACACACGTACCAGCACACCCACATACCTACACACGTACCAGCACACCCACATACCTACACACGTACCAGCTCGCCCACATACCTACACACGTACCAGCACACCCACATACCTACACACGTACCAGCTCACCCACATACCTACACACGTACCAGCACACCCACATACCTACACACGTACCAGCTCACCCACATACCTACACACGTACCAGCTCGCCCACATACCTACACACGTACCAGCTCGCCCACATACCTACACACGTACCAGCTCGCCCACATACCTACACACGTACCAGCTCACCCACATACCTACACACGTACCAGCACACCCACATACCTACACACGTACCAGCTCGCCCACATACCTACACACGTACCAGCTCACCCACATACCTACACACGTACCAGCACACCCACATACCTACACACGTACCAGCTCTCCCACATACCTACACACGTACCAGCACACCCACATACCTACACACGTACCAGCTCACCCACATACCTACACACGTACCAGCACACCCACATACCTACACACGTACCAGCTCACCCACATACCTACACACGTACCAGCTCACCCACATACATACACACGTACCAGCTCACCCACATACCTACACACGTACCAGCTCACCCACATACCTACACACGTACCAGCTCACCCACATACCTACACACGTACCAGCTCACCCACATACCTACACACGTACCAGCTCACCCACATACCTACACACGTACCAGCACACCCACATACCTACACACGTACCAGCTCGCCCACATACCTACACACGTACCAGCTCGCCCACATACCTACACACGTACCAGCTCACCCACATACCTACACACGTACCAGCACACCCACATACCTACACACGTACCAGATCACCCACATACCTACACACGTATCAGCTCGCCCACATACCTACACACGTACCAGCTCGCCCACATACCTACACACGTACCAGCTCACCCACATACCTACACACGTACCAGCTCACCCACATGCTTACACACGTACCAGCTCACCCACATACCTACACACGTACCAGATCACCCACATACCTACACACGTACCAGCTCACCCACATACCTACACACGTACCAGCTCACCCACATACCTACACACGTACAAGCTCACCCACATACCTACACACGTACCAGCTCGCCCACATACCTACACACGTACCAGCTCACCCACATACATACACACGTACCAGCTCACCCACATACCTACACACGTACCAGCTCGCCCACATACCTACACACGTACCAGCTCACCCACATACCTACACACGTACCAGCTCACCCACATACCTACACACGTACCAGCTCACCCACATACCTACACACGTACCAGCTCACCCACATACTTACACACGTACCAGCTCACCCACATACATACACACGTACCAGCTCACCCACATACCTACACACGTACCAGCTCACCCACATACCTACACACGTACCAGCTCACCCACATACCTACACACGTACCAGCTCGCCCACATACCTACACACGTACCAGCTCACCCACATACCTACACACGTACCAGCTCACCCACATACCTACACACGTACCAGCTTACCCACATACCTACACACGTACCAGCACACCCACATACCTACACACGTACCAGATCACCCACATACCTACACACGTACCAGCTCACCCACATACCTACACACGTACCAGCTCGCCCACCTACCCACCCACCTACCTACATACCAGCTCCCCTACCTGCCGACCTACCTGTACCTGCCTGCCTACCTGTACCAGCCGTGCACTCGACTGCCTACCACGACAATTACTAATATGCCTACCTTCATACATTCCTGCCTCCACAACTACCAAGCTACCTATACAAGGCCCTACCTATGTATACACATACTCACCTGCCTACCAGATCACCTGTGTACTTACGCAACTCATTATGCTACCTACCCATACACATACCGACCTCATGGTGATGTTGATACTCATGGCGATGGCTATGGGTGATGTGGGTGATGAGTTGGACTGTGATGGCCATACAATATTGTGATGGTGATGTTGATGATGTTGATGATGGTGACATCGCTGTTTCTGTTGACTATGGTGATGTTGATGATGGCGGCGGCAATGATGATGGTGGTGATGCTGGTGATGGTGATGTGGATGTGCAGGGACGGAGGAGATGGTGAAGGAGATGCTGGGTCACATCACGGAAGGAGTTTGTCGACCTTTAAAGGTTCGTACATCGATGGCGGTGATGTAGATCGTGATGGTGGCGATGATGAGGATATAGATAGTGATGGTGATGTAGATCGTGATGGTGGTGATGATGATGATATCGATAGTGATGGTGATGTAGATAGTGATGGTGGTGATGATGATGATGATATAGATAGTGATGGTGATGTAGATCGTGATGGTGGTGATGGTGATGATATAGATAGTCATGGTGATGTAGATCGTGATGGTGGTGATGATGATGATGATATAGATAGTGATAGTGATGTAGATAGTGATGGTGGTGATGATGATGATATAGATAGTGATGGTGATGTAGATAGTGATGGTGGTGATGATGATGATGATATAGATAGTGATGGTGATGTAGATAGTGATGGTTGTGATGATGATGATATAGATAGTGATAGTGATGTAGATAGTGATGGTGGTGATGATGATGATGATATAGATAGTGATGGTGATGTAGATCGTGATGGTGGTGATGATGATGATATAGAGAGTGATGGTGATGTAGATAGTGATGGTGGTGATGATGATGATGATGATATAGATAGTGATGGTGATGTAGATCGTGATGGTGGTGATGATGATGATGATATATATAGTGATGGTGATGTAGATCGTAATGGTGGTGATGATGATGATATAGATAGTGATGGTGATGTAGATAGTGATGGTGGTGATGATGATGATATAGATAGTGATGGTGATGTAGATGATGATGATATAGATAGTGATGGTGATGTAGATCGTGATGGTGGTGATGATATAGATTGTGATGGTGATGTAGATCGTGATGGTGGTGATGATGATGATGATATACATAGTGATGGTGATGTAGATCGTGATGGTGGTGATGATGATGATATAGATAGTGATGGTGATGTTGATCGTGATGGTGGTGATGATGATGATGATATAGATAGTGATGGTGATGTAGATCGTGATGGTGGTGATGATGATTATATAGATAGTGATGGTGATGTAGATAGTGATGGTGGTGTAGTGTTGTATAGTAGTGTAGTGGTATAGTGTCTTGTATAGTAGTTTATAGTGTAGTGTATAGTAGTGTATAGTATAGTAGTGTAGTGTATAGTAGTGTAGTGTATGGTGTAGTGTATAGTGTAGTGGTATAGTAGTGCATAGTGTAGTGTATAGTGTAGTGGTATAGTAGTGTATAGTAGTGTATAGTGTAGTGTATAGTAGTGTAGTGTATAGTGTAGTGGTATAGTAGTGTATAGTGTAGTGTATAGTAGTGTATTGTGTAGTGTATAGTGTAGTGTATAGTAGTGTATAGTGTAGTGTATAGTAGTGTATAGTGTAGTGTATAGTGTAGTGTAGTGTTTAGTGTAGTGTACAGTGTAGTGTATAGTGAAGTGTATAGTGTAGTGTATAGTAGTGTAGTGTATAGTGTAGTGTATAGTGTAGTGTATAGTGTAGTGTATAGTAGTGTATAGTGTAGTATACTAGTACATCACACCGGTTGTGTGTTGGAGAGCCAAGCTACAACATTTACAAACTGAGTACGACGTTTCGCCAGTAATTACAACCAGCTTCATCAGGCGACAGCCAGACTTGTGGAGAAATCCACAAGCACCATTAAAACCACCATCACAACCACCATTACCACAACAATTACAACCACCACCATTACCACCAGCACCGAAACTACGACCACCACCACTATCAGCACCACAACCACAACCATTCCCAACAGCACTACGACCACTACAATAACCACCAGCATCACCATTACCACCACTACCAACACCATAACCAACATTAATCGCCATCACCACCCGCGTCACCGTGATGTAAATCTATTTTCCATGACGGAGGGCCGTTGCCTTAAACGTCGCCTCTTGTATATTTTCCCTTTAAAGCCCACAAAGACAAAGATATCCCCCGTGTAGCCTTAACAGACTGTTGGGGGCAAGTGCTGTTAGCGAGTAGCAGCATCTGTGAAGGCCGGCATGGTACACGAGGGGGTGGGTGGCCAGCACCACGCCCGGCCGCCTTTGTCTCCCCAGTGGCGATGTTTACTACATATCGCACCAGCTACTCATTTGAGGCTACAGTGAGGGAAAAAAGTATTTGATCCCCTGCTGATTTTGTACGTTTGCCCACTGACAAAGAAATGATCAGTCTTTGATTTAATGGTAGGTTTATTTGAACAGTGAGAGACAGAATAACAACAAAAAAATCCAGAAAAACGCATGTCAAAAATGTTATGAATTGATTTGCATTTTAATGAGGGAAATAAGTATTTGACCCCTCTGCACAACATGACTTAGTACTTGGTGGCAAAACCCTTGTTGGCAATCACAGAGGTCAGACGTTTCTTGTAGTTGGCCACCAGGTTTGCACACATCTCAGGAGGGATTTTGTCCCACTCCTCTTTGCAGATCTTCTCCAAGTCATTAAGGTTTCGAGGCTGACGTTTGGCAACTCGAACCTTCAGCTCCCTTTCTGTGGGATTAAGGTCTGGAGACTGGCTAGGCCACTCCAGGACCTTAATATGCTTCTTCTTGAGTCACTCCTTTGTTGCCTTGGCTGTGTGTTTTGGGTCATTGCCATGCTGGAATACCCATCCACAACCCATTTTCAATGCCCTGGCTGAGGGAAGGAGGTTCTCACCCAAGATTTGACGGTAAATGGCCCCGTCCATCGTCCCTTTGATGCGGTTGAGTTGTCCTGTCCCCTTAGCAGAAAACACCCCCAAAGCATAATGTTTCCACCTCCATGTTTGACGGTTGGGGATGGTGTTCTTAGGGTCATAGGCTGCATTCCTCCTCCTCCAAACACGGCGAGTTGAGTTGATGCCAAAGAGCTCCATTTTGGTCTCATCTGACCACAACACTTTCACCCAGTTGTCCTCTGAATCATTCAGATATTCATTGGCAAACTTCAGACGGGCATGTATATGTGCTTTCTTGAGCAGGGGGACCTTGCAGGCGCTGCAGGATTTCAGTCGTTCATGGCGTAGTGTGTTACCAATTGTTTTCGTGGTGACTATGGTCCCAGCTACCTTGAGACCATTTACAAGATCCTCCTGTGTAGTTCTGGGCTGATTCCTCACCGTTCTCATGATCATTGCAACTCCACGAGGTGAGATCTTGCATAGAGCCCCAGGCCGAGGGAGATTGACAGTTATTTTGTGTTTCTTCCATTTGCGAATAATCGCACCAAATGTTGTCACCTTCTCACCAAGCTGCTTGGCAATGGTCTTGTAGCCCATTCCAGCCTTGTGTAGGTCTACAATCTTGTCCCTGACATCCTTGGAGAGCTCTTTGGTCTTTTGATTGCCTCTGTGGGCAGGTGTCTTTTATACAGGTAACAAGCTGAGATTAGGAGCACTCCCTTTAAGAGTGTGCTCCTAATCTCAGCTTGTTACCTGTATAAAAGACACCTGGGAGCCAGAAATCTTTCTGATTGAGAGGGGGTCAAATACTTATTTCCCTCATTAAAATGCAAATCAATTTATAACATTTTTGACATGCGTTTTTTCTGGATTTTGTTGTTGTTATTCTGTCTCTCACTGTTCAAATAAACCTACCATTAAAATTATAGACTGATCTGGGGTGACAGAGCCTTCTCTATAGCTGCCCCCTCACTTTGGAACTCTCTCCCAAAACAAATCCGTGACTGCACCGACCTTCCAGCGTTCAAATCGTTGACTAAAACTCACCTTTTTAAAATTGCTTTTAATGTTTAGCTAAGTTTGATGTGTTTTTAGTGTTTTTACCATTTGATGTTGTTTTTGCTGCTTTTATGATTTTATGCAAAGTGTCTTTGAGTATTCAGAAAAGTGCTCACAAATAAAATGTATTATTATTATCATTTCTTTGTCAGTGGGCAAACGTACAAAATCAGCGGGGGATCAAATACTTTTAGTCCCCTCACTGTTTACGGGAGATCTTTGTAGTCTTTGTATGGGTCGTGGGGAACGGTGGCGCATTGGTTAGCACACAGCGCTACCAACCTTGGCGAAGCGATTTCGATTCGGGCTCACGGCCAACATCCAGTAACGGCGACTATCTGAACTGGTCCTGGGCCTCCACGAGGTCGACTCAGCCTTAATTCAGTTTTAAGTTTCATTTATTAGGTATCACCCCGTGAGCCATGCGGCTCTTGACTCTGGTGCCAACCGCAACAAACAAAAACATGAACAAGGAAACGTCTTAAAGTGACTACGCGCAAACAGAAGAATCCAGGGAAAATCAGCAAAGTCTTCCGGAAAAAGCACCGCATATCAACGCTGTTTGTAAACATCCCAGTGGGATGCAAGTCAAACAATAAACAACCATAAGAAAATTTTAAATTAAAGTTATCAGTCTAACTCTGTACTACAACAAACAAACATGGCCACACCAAAACGTTTTCAAAATCACCAAAATAAAGCTATGAAAACAATGTAGCAGTGTTCATAGGGACTGTGATTAAAATGTAACAATAAACGATATATACATAACATGTACGATCAAACTTTGCAGCTGGCTGCATGAGTCACTCCATAACAGTAGTATCAGAATCAGAAAGGGTTTTATTCGCCATGAAAGTTCACACCGACACGGAATTTACTTTGGCAAGATGGTGCATACATTCAACATATAGGAATCTAAAATCTTAAATAAGTTTTAAACAAATCTTACTCTAATAAGGGTTCAAAGTCTAACTAACACCAAGGGGCTGAAGTATATAAAATTGAATAAATATCGAATATAAAATAGCTTTAAGATATAATTTAAAAATAAAAAATACAAATAGGTTAACATAGTTAACCTATTTGTATAGGTAGCAGTATCAAACAGTCTCACTGCACCTTTAAAGATCAGCACACTATAATAAAAACTCAAGATCATACTTTGCAGCGGTCATCCAGAGCGATACATTTGATTTCAGGCCACTGAATAGCAGTGGCAGCTAGGGGTGTACAACTCCTCTAGAGCAGTTTTGAGTGAAGATCTCACAGGTAGTGATCCAAGTTGCAGTTTATTAGCGATAGCATTCCAGACCCCGGAGGCATAAATAGAAAAGGCCCTTCCTCCAGTATTTTAATAAATAGTACCTGGTGTGAATGTCTACTCTTTGGTTCTATTCGGTAAAGTCACGTAGGTAAAAATAAAACAACAGAAATCACGACGTTTCGGCCACAACACAAGTGGCCTTCATCAGGTGAAGGGACGAGACTGTCTGGAGGACAGCGTTGATGAATAGAACCAAAGATCATTGCAGTCACGAAAGCTTCAAATCTAGAATCGGTGACGTGTAGTAAACATCGACACTGGGGAGACAGAGACGGGCCCGGGGCACTGTGCTCGCCCCACCTGCCGCTCCCCTCGCACGGCGTGCCGGCCTTCGTAGGCGCCACTCGCCAACGGCACTTGCCCCAGCAGTCTGTCGAGGCTACACGGGGGGCGGGGGGTCCTTTGCCTTTTGCAGGTGCGCATCGAGCAGGTGATTCTGGCCGAGCCAGGAGCTGTGCTGCTCTTCAAGGTCTCCAATCTGCTCAAGTTCTACATCCAGACCATCGGGTACCACCACCACCGCCGCCACCGCCGCCACAACACCCGTCATATATAGAGGATGGCAGAGCTTGGGGTCGAGGAATTCGGCACCGGCTCACCGCGTGGCTGCTGCTGCCGCTGCCGCCACCTTCTTGCACGGCCGTGGTCCTTCTTGGGTCCTCGCTAGGAGACGTTGACTACCTCGCCTGGTCGACAGGAGGTCGTGGGTTCGATCCCTACCCTGACGACGCCTGGCTGTGCATTTGGAGTTTTCCCCCTCTCACCATGTTCGCGTGGATTGTTCCTCCGGCTGCTCTGGTTTTTTTGGTTTTTCTTGACGTCGCACGTTTAGATTACTTGGCTACCGCCATCAGTTTAGTTCTATTGGCGCAAGGCAAGAGAGCGAAGTGCAGTGGACACCTAACGGGGGTGGGGTGGGGGGCGATCTGCCCCGTGGATCGTGGTGGCGACGTTGATGAGTTCCCGCACGAAGTGAGGCCACCTCATAGTCTTAGTTTTTTCGGTAAAGTCACGTTGAAGGGAAACAACAAAATAATAATATATATAAAACAATAAAAAAAATTCTCACGACGTTTCGACCATAACTCAAACGGTCGTCGAAACGTCGTGATAATTTTTTTATTGTTTTATATATATTTTATTATTTTGTTGTTTCCCTTCAACGTGACTTTACCGAAAAAAAACTAAGAATATGAGGCCACCTCAATATTTGTGGCCGCGTCGCTGCTGGAAGCGAGCTTCGAAGAACAGTGGCGGGCGCCCAACGCCTGATACAACATCAGGCAGTGTCTCGTTTATTATTATTATTATGGCTTGTTATTATTATAGCTTGTAATTTTAGCGTATAGTTTATTATTATAGCTTATTATAGTTTATTATAGATTGTTATAGTTTATTATTGTTTAGTATAGCTTATTATAGTTTATTATTATAGATTATTATTGTTTATTATTATAGTTTATTATTATAGATTATAGTTTATGATTGTAATTATTGTAGTTTATTATTATAGTTTATTATTATAGTTAATTATTATAGTTTATAGCTTATTATAGTTTATGATTGTAGTTTATTAATATAGCTGATTATTATAGCTTGTAATTTTAGATTATAGTTTATTATTATAGCTTATTATAGTTTATTATTATAGGTTATAGTTTATTATTGTTTATTATTATAGCTTATTATTGTTTATTATTATAGTTTATTATTGTTTATTATTATAGCTTATAGTTTATTATTATAGATTATTATTATAGTTTATTATTATAGCTTATAGTGTATTATAGATTGTTATAGTTTATTATTGTTTAGTATAGCTTATAGTTTATTATAGATTATTATCGTTTATTATAGTTTATTATTATAGATTATTATAGTTTTTTATTGTAATTATTGTAGTTTATTATTATAGTTTATTATTATAGTTAATTATTATAGTTTATAGCTTATTATAGTTTATGATTGTAGTTTATTAATATAGCTTATTATTATAGTTTATTATTTTAGCTTGTTATTATAGTTTATTATTATAGCTTATTATAGTTTATTACTATAGTTTATTATTATAGTTTATGATTGTAGTTTATTAATATAGCTTATTATAGTTTATTATTATAGCCTATTATCATAGTTTATTACTATAGTTTATTTAATAGTTTATTATTGTAGTTTATTATTGTAGTTCATTATAGTTCATTATTATAGTTTATAGCTTATTATTATAGTTTATAATTGTAGTTTATTAGTATAGCTTATTATTATAGTTTATTATTATAGCTTATTATACAGTTTATTATTATAGCTTATTCTTATAGTTCATTACTATTATAGCTTATTATAGTTCTTCATCATAGTTTATTATAGTTTATTATTATAGTTTATTGTTATAGATTATTATAGTTTATTGTTATAGCTTATGATAGTTATTATATTCTTGGTTATTTTGGTAAAGTCACGTAGAAGGGAAACAATAAAATAATAAGTTTATAAAATTAAACTATAATAAACTATAACAATAAAATAATAAAGTTTATAATAATAATAAACTGTTATTTTATTTCCCTTCTACGTGACTTGACCAAAATAACCAACAATATGAATCCCTGCAGTCACGAAAGCTTTAAATCAACATTTATTTATCATAGTTTATTGTTATAGTGTATTGTTATAGTTTATTATTATAGCTTATTATAGTTTATTATTGTAGTTTATTATAGTTTATTGTTTATTATTATAGATTATTATTATTGCTTATTCTTATAGTTGCATATTATTGTAGCTTATTATTATAGTTTATTATTGTAGTTTATTAGTATAGCTTATTATTATAGTTTATTATTATAGTTTATTATAGCTTACTATTATAGTTTATTATTATAGCTTGTTCTTATAGTTTAATATTATTATAGCTTATAGTTCTTTATCATAGTTTATTATAAACTATATAATAATTATAAACTGTATTATAGCTTATTATAGTTTATTATTGTAGTTTATTGTTATGGCTTATTATTATAATGGCTTACGGTAGTTCTTTATTTACAGTGTATTGTCATTATAGTTGATTCATCTTAGGAGCGAGTGGATGTTGAGTCTTCGCTACCACTGGGTGGCGGTAGTGCCATTCCTGACCAGCTGACACACGACCCAGAGCCGCTCTAAAGCCGCCATAGGGCAACGCGCGCACGGCACTTACCCCAACGTTCCGTTAAGGGACCGTCCATATATGACGTCACGCACCTAGGGGGGGGGGGCGGGGGGGGAGGGGGTCAGACATTTGTGACGAGGGGGGAGGTGGTTTGAGAAATGTGACGTCACATCAAAATGCGCAACTTTAAATCAATACAGACAAACACGTTCTACTTATTAATTAAATAGACTTTTTTTATAAATGTTTTCTCCTACGACATCAGAGTGCAGCGCCACGTTAAATACGCAACTACAATGACAATAGTTTAAAGCGATTTGAAGCATTTTCTTTTGGGGGGGGGAGGTGGGGGCAGAGCTTTGTGACGTCATATTTGAGGGGGGGTCTGCCTTTTTGTGACGTCGTGTGACGAGGGGGGGGGGTCAAATATCGTCCAAATTCGCGTGACGTCATTTATGGACGGCCCCTAAAGGGTACGTTGGGGGTGGGGGGTTGAACCTTTGTTTTTATTTGAAAGTACAGTACATGCTTCTTCTGGTACTTTACGTGATATGTTTAACTTCGTTGGCACCGTACGTAGCCGTGCTAATGGGAGGGGCGGTGTTTAGTCTATGGGCAGTGTTGAGTCTATGGGCAGTGTTGAGTCTATGGGCAGTGTTGAGTCTATGGACAGTGTTGAGTCTATTGGCAATGTTAGTCTATGGGCAGTGTTGAGTCTATGGGCAGTGTTAGTCTATGGGCAGTGTTTAGTCTATTGGTAGTGTTAGTCTATGGGCAGTGTTGAGTCTATGGTGCAGTGTTGAGTCTATGGGTAGTGTTAGTCTATGGGCAGTGTTCAGTCTATGGGCAGTGTTGTGTCTATGGGCAGTGTTTAGTCTATGGGCAGTGTTGAGTCTATGGGCAGTGTTGAGTCTATGGGCAGTGTTGAGTCTATGGGCAGTGTTGAGTCTATGGGCAGTGTTGAGTCTATGGACAGTGTTGAGTCTATTGGCAATGTTAGTCTATGGGCAGTGTTGAGTCTATGGGCAGTGTTAGTCTATGGGCAGTGTTTAGTCTATTGGTAGTGTTAGTCTATGGGCAGTGTTGAGTCTATGGTGCAGTGTTGAGTCTATGGGTAGTGTTAGTCTATGGGCAGTGTTCAGTCTATGGGCAGTGTTGTGTCTATGGGCAGTGTTGAGTCTATGGGCTGTGTTGAGTCTATGGGTAGTGTTAGTCTATGGGTAGTGTTGAGGCTATGGGCAGTGTTAGTCTATGGGCAGTGTTAGTATATGGGCAGTGTTAAGTCTATGGGCAGTGTTGAGTCTATGGTTAGTGTTGAATCTGTGGGCAGTGTTGAGTCTATGGGTAGTGTTAGTCTATGGGTAGTGTTAGTCTATGGGCAGTGTTGAGTCTATTGGCAATGTTAGTCTATGGGCAGTGTTAGTCTATGGGCAGTGTTGAATCTATTGGCAGTGTTAGTCTATGGTGCAGTGTTGAGTCTATGGGCAGTGTTGAGTCTATGGGTAGTGTTGAGTCTATGGGCAGTGTTAGTCTATGGGTAGTGTTAGTCTATGGGCAGTGTTGAGTCTATGGGCAGTGTTAGTCTATGGGCAGTGTTGAGTCTATGGGCAGTGTTAGTCTATGGGTAGTGTTAGTCTATGGGCAGTGTTAGTCTATGGGCAGTGTGAGTCTATGGGCAGTGTTGAGTCTAAGGGCAGTGTTGAGTCTATGGGCAATGTTTAGTCTATGGGCAGTGTTGAGTCTATGGTGCAGTGTTGAGTCTATGGGTAGTGTTTAGTCTATGGGCAGTGTTCAGTCTATGGGTAGTGTTGAGTCTACGGTGCAGTGTTGAGTCTATGTGCAGTGTTGAGTCTACGGTGCAGTGTTGAGTCTACGGTGCAGTGTTGAGTCTATGGTGCAGTGTTGAGTCTATGGGCAGTGTTGAGTCTATGTGCAGTGTTGAGTCTATGTGCAGTGTTGAGTCTACGGTGCAGTTTTAGTCTATAGGCAGTGTTAGTCTATGGGCAGTGTTGAGTCTATGGGTAGTGTTGAGTCTATGGGTAGTGTTGAGTCTATGGGCAGTGTTGAGTCTATGGGTAGTGTTAGTCTATGGGCAGTGTTGAGTCTATGGGTAGTGTTGAGTCTATGGGCAGTGTTGAGTCTATGGGTAGTGTTGAGTCTATGGGTAGTGTTGAGTCTATGGGTAGTGTTAGTCTATGGGCAGTGTTGAGTCTATGGGCAGTGTTGAGTCTATGGGTAGTGTTGAGTCTATGGGCAGTGTTGAGTCTATGGGTAGTGTTGAGTCTATGGGTAGTGTTAGTCTATGGGCAGTGTTGAGTCTATGGGCAGTGTTGAGTCTATGGGTAGTGTTAGTCTATGGGTAGTGTTAGTCTATGGGCAGTGTTGAGTCTATGGGCAGTGTTGAGTCTATGGGTAGTGTTGAGTCTATGGGCAGTGTTGAGTCTATGGGTAGTGTTGAGTCTATGGGTAGTGTTAGTCTATGGGCAGTGTTGAGTCTATGGGCAGTGTTGAGTCTATGGGTAGTGTTGAGTCTATGGGCAGTGTTGAGTCTATGGGTAGTGTTGAGTCTATGGGTAGTGTTAGTCTATGGGCAGTGTTGAGTCTATGGGCAGTGTTGAGTCTATGGGTAGTGTTAGTCTATGGGTAGTGTTAGTCTATGGGCAGTGTTGAGTCTATGGGCAGTGTTGAGTCTATGGGTAGTGTTGAGTCTATGGGCAGTGTTGAGTCTATGGGTAGTGTTGAGTCTATGGGTAGTGTTAGTCTATGGGCAGTGTTGAGTCTATGGGCAGTGTTGAGTCTATGGGTAGTGTTAGTCTATGGGCAGTGTTGAGTCTATGGGCAGTGTTGAGTCTATGGGCAGTGTTGAGTCTATGGGCAGTGTTGAGTCTATGGGCAGTACATATGTTGAACTTCTTCCGCACTGTACGTAGCCAACCGCGCTAATTGGAGGTGCTCGGGGAAGGTCAAGAAACTAAACACACGAAAATCGTCTCGAAACAAATGCGTTTGTCAGTGTAGATGACGACGACGATTTTAAAGTGCCGTAGCTCCCAATGGCTTCCTGATATCGGAAAGGAAGAGAGCGTTCCAGACGGCCGCAGAAGCGCGTCCGAAAGCGCCGCGTGATTTGCAGCGACCACCGCCTTCGCCCGATGGCTTGGCCCAAAGGCCTCTGCCGCTGCGAGGATTGACGGTGGTGGCCCATCGCCCCTTGACGAGGCCAGCAGTGAGAGGTCGTCGTGGTTCCTGCGCTGAGCCCCCGTTCACCCCGCGCACAGTCCCCGTTCACCCCGCGCACAGTCCACGCACAACCACAAGGACCCCCCCCCCCGACCCCCCCCGCTGCAGCCTCAACAGACCGCTGGCGCAAGCGCTGCACCTGTGTGCCACGCGTGGGGGCGCGGTGGCCAGCACCACGCCCGGCCGCCTTTGTCTCCCCCCGTGGCCACGTTCACTGCACACCGCGCCAGGCAGTGAGTCGAGGCTGGGTCGGCCTAGGGGAGGGACCGGTTCAGCTAATCGCCCGTGGCCACGCTGCCCATACAACAACCGGCAGGTCACCGCGAAGCGGCCGTGACGTCACCGCTGCGTTTGACGCCAGGCTAGGTGCGCCTCGGCGGGGGGGGGGGGGGCGGGGGGGGGGGGGCGGGGGGCACCCCCACCGCCACCCACTGCCTCCTTCCACCGCGATGACCTCGCCAATAGCTACGTTGCCAAAGAGGCCAGAGAGAGAGACAAGCCGGGGGGGTGTGACGGGCGGTAACCGTGGGGGGTGAAGTCTCACGGCCAGCACCCCCAATTGGCAGAGCCTGGAGTAGACTGTAACCCCCCCCCCCCCCACACACACACCCCCCACCTCCCCCGTCCCCTCCCCTCGGAGGTTCCTCACAGAAACAGCAGGAAACCACTGCGGTTGGCCATGTGGAATGACCGCACACACACACACACGTGCACACACACACACGTGCACACACACACACACGCACGCACACACACACGCACACACACACACGTGCACACACACACACACGCACGCACACACACGTTCACACACACACGCACACACGCACGCACGTGCACACACACGCACGCGCACACACGCACACACACACACGCACACACGCACACACGCACGCACGTGCACACACACGCACGTGCACACACACGCACGTGCACACACACACACGCACACACACGCACACACACACGCACGCACACACACACACGTGCACACACACGCACACGCACACACGCACACACACGTGCACGCACGCACACACACGCGCACACACATACGTACAAAGACAAAGGTCCCCCGTGTAGGCTTGGCAAAGTGTTTGGGGCGAGTGTTGCTTATACAAAGACAAAGGTCCCCCGTGTAGGCTTGGCAGAGTGTTTGGGGCGAGTGTTGCTTATACAAAGACAAAGGTCCCCCGTGTAGGCTTGGCAGAGTGTTTGGGGCGAGTGCTGCTAGCGAGTGGCAACGAAGTCCGGCACGGCGCTTGAGGGGCTGGGCGGTCAGCACCACCCCCGGCAGCCTTTGCCTCCCCCAGAGGTGACATTTACCACACACCGCACCAGGCACTCATTTCGGGCTGAGTCGACCTGGGGGAGGCCTAGGACCCCTTCAGATTATGATCGTCCGCACACAAAGACACAGATACCCACCCACGTGCATCAATCCAGCGACATCTAAGGCCTTCGCTCCTGACCCGGCATCCCGCCCCCCCCCCCTGCCCCCCCTGCCCCCCCAGGGAGATGAGATGAAGGCCCCCACCCCCCCACCCATTTTCCTCCCCACGAGCCCCTGAGCCCTCGGTAACCCCCGGCAACCGTCTCCCCATACACGCTGACACGGAAACCACCGAACTCGTCACTCGCCGTCTCGCTCGCTCACCCGGCCACCCAATCGCTGTAACCCTCACCCACCCACTCACTCACCTACCAAACTACCCACCCACCTACCAACCTACCCACCCACCTACCCACCCACCCAATCGCTGTAACCCTCACCCACCCACTCACTCACCTACCAACCTAGCCAATCACTGTAACCCACCCACTCACTCACTCATCTACCCACTCACCTACCAACCTACCCAATCGCTGTAACCCTCACCCACCCACTCACTCATCTACCAACCTACCCATCCACCTACCCACTCACCCACCCACTCACTCACCAACCTACCCACCCAATCACTGTAACCCACCCACTCACCTACCCACTCACCTACCCACCCAATCGCTGTAACCCTCACCCACCCACTCACTCACCTACCAACCTACCCATCCACCTACCCACCCACCCAATCGCTGTAACCCACCCACTCACCTACCCACTCACTCACCTACCCACCCACCTAATCGCTGTAACCCTCACCCACCCACTCACCTACCAACCTACCCACCCAATCACTGTAACCCACCCACTCACCTACCCACCCACCCAATCGCTGTAACCCTCACCCACCCACTCACCTACCAACCTACCCACCCACTCAATCGCTGTAACCCTCACCCACTCACTCACTCACCCACTCACTCACTCACCCACCCACTCACCTACCCACCCACTCAATCGCTGTAACCCTCACCCACCCACTCAAACACACACCCACTCACCCACCTACTCACCCACTGACTCACCCACCCACTCACGCACCTACTCACCTACCCACCCACTCAATCGCTGTAACCCTCACCTACCCACTCACCCACCCACTCACTCACCCACCCACTCAGCCACTCACCCACCCACTAAATCGCTGTAACCCTCACCCACCCACTCAAACACACACCCACTCACCCACCTACTCACCCACTCGCTCACCCACCTACTCACCCACCCACCCACTCACCCAGACACTCAATTGCTCTGACCCGCTCACCCACTCACTCAGCCATCCACTCATCCACCCACACGATGGCACCCAGGCTGCACCTCCGATTAGCACGATTGGCTCTGTACGGTGCGAAAGAAGTTCAACATACGGAGATGCAACCACCCACTCCCCCACCCACTCACCCACTCACCCACTCACCGCCCACCCACCCGCTCACCGACCCAATCGCTATAACCCACTTACCCTGTGTCTCCCCCCTGCTCCCTGTGTGTCTCCACCATTTGTCCACGCCATGTCCCCCGTTGTGTGTGTGTCCCCGTGTGTCCCCGTGTGTCCTCTCCCCCCATGTCCCCCCGAGTGTCCCCCCGTGTCCTCCCGTGTCTCCTCCATGTGTCCCCGTGTCTCCCGGTGTCTCCCGGCGTCCCCCCGTGTCCTCCCCGTGTCCCCCCCGTGTCCCCCCGTGTCCCCCCGTGTCCCCCCGTGTCCCCCCGTGTCCTCCCGTGTCTCCTCCGTGTGTCCCCGAGTGTCCCCGTGTCTCCCGGTGTCCCCCCGTGGCACCACCCCCCCCCACTCCGTGTGTCCCCCCCCCCCCCCGCCGGCCACAGCGCGGTGGTGGGCTCTCTGGACGCGTCCCTGGTGGTGACGCTGGTGGAGACGGCCGACCTGAGCCGCACGATGTTCTACTCCAGCCTGAGCACCCACTCGGCCAAGATGCTGGACAAGGTGGGGCGGCCGCCGGCGGCCACGGCACGCCCGGCGGCATCTCGGGCGACGGTGTCACCACGGCACGCCCTGCTCACCGCACCGCGGATGGCTGCCAGCACCACACTCAGTGTCAAACACTACCAGCAGCACCACAGTCAGTGTCAAACACTACCACCACCACCACAGTCAGTGTCAACCACCACACTCAGTGTCAACCACTACCACCAGCACTACACTCAGTGTCAAACACTACCACCACACTCAGTGTCAACCACTACCACTACCACAGTCAGTGTCAACCACTACCACCACAGTGTCAACCACTACCACCACCACAGTCAGTGTCAACCACCACACTCAGTGTCAACCACTACCAGCACCACCACACTCAGTGTCAAACACTACCACCACAGTCAGTGTCAAACACTACCACCACACTCAGTGTCAAACGCTACCACCACCACAGTCAGTGTCAAACACTACCACCACAGTCAGTGTCAAACACTACTACCGCACTCAGTGTCAACCACTACCACCAGCACCACAGTCAGTGTCAAACACTACCACCACCACAGTGTCAACCACTACCACCACAGTGTCAACCACTACCAGCAGCACCACAGTCAGTGTCAACCACTACCACCACAGTCAGTGTCAACCACTACCACCACAGTCAGTGTCAACCACTACCACCACAGTGTCAAACACTACCACCACACTCAGTGTCAACCACTACCACCAGCACCACCACAGTGTCAACCACTACCACCACAGTGTCAACCACTACCAGCAGCACCACACTCAGTGTCAACCACTAACACCACACTCAGTGTCAAACACTACCACCACAGTGTCAACCACTACCACCACAGTCAGTGTCAACCACTACCACCACCACCACACTCAGTGTCAAACACTACCACCACCCCAGTCAGTGTCAACCACTACCACCACACTCAGTGTCAACCACTAACACCACACTCAGTGTCAACCACTACCACCACACTCAGTGTCAACCACACCACCACACTCAGTGTCAACCACTACCACCACACACTCTCAATAATACCACACGACACTGCCTCAACCACACCACCACACTGAGTGGCAACCACACCACCACACACTCTCAATAATACCACACGACACTGCCCCAACCACACCACCACAATGAGTGTCAACCACACCACCACACACTCTCAATAATACCACACGACACTGCCTCAACCACACCACCACACTGAGTGGCAACCACACCACCACACACTCTCAATAATACCATACCACACTGAGTGTCAACCACACCACCACACTGAGTGTCAATCACACCACCACACACTCTCAATACTACCACACCACCACGCTGAGTGTCAATCACACCACCACACACTCTCAATACTACCACACCACACCGCCCCAACCACACCACCACACTGAGTGTCAACCACACCACCACACACTTTCAATAATACCACACGACACTGCCCCAACCACACCACCACACTGATTGTCAACCATACCACCACACAATTTCACCGACCACACCGCACTATGTTGATGCTGCTACTGCTGCAGAGAATGGCGATAATGACGCTGACGGTGCTGATTGTACTAACGGTGTTGACGGTGCTGATGGTACTCACGGTGTTGACGGTGCTGATGGTACTGACGGTGTTGACGGTGCTAATGGTGGCGACGGTGTTGACGGTGCTGATGGTACTAACGGTGTTGACAGTGCTGATGGTACTCACGGTGTTGACGGCGCTGATGGTACTAACGGTGTTGACGGTGCTGATGGTACTAACGGTGTTGACGGTGCTGATGGTACTCACGGTGTTGACGGTGCTGATGGTACTAACGGTGTTGACGGTGCTGATGGTGCTAACGGTGCTGATGGTACTAACGGTGTTGACGGTGCTGATGGTACTAACGGTGTTGACGGTGCTGATGGTACTAACGGTGTTGACGGCGCTGATGGTACTAACGGTGTTGACGGTGCTGATGGTACTAACGGTGTTGTTGGCGCTGATGGTACTCACGGTGTTGACGGTGCTGATGGTACTAACGGTGCTGATGGTACTAACGGTGTTGACGGTGCTGATGGTACTCACGGTGTTGACGGCGCTGATGGTACTAACGGTGTTGACGGCGCTGATGGTACTAACGGTGTTGACGGCGCTGATGGTGCTAACGGTGCTGACGGTGCTGATGGTACTAACGGTGTTGACGGTGCTGATGGTACTAACGGTGTTGACGGTGCTGATGGTACTAACGGTGTTGACGGCGCTGATGGTACTAACGGTGTTGACGGTGCTGATGGTACTCACGGTGTTGACGGTGCTGATGGTACTAACGGTGCTAACGGTGCTGATGGTACTAACGGTGTTGACGGTGCTGATGGTACTCACGGTGTTGATGGTGCTGATGGTACTAACGGTGTTGACGGTGCTGATGGTACTCACGGTGTTGACGGTGCTGATGGTACTAAAGTTGTTGACGGTGCTGATGGTACTGACGGTGTTGACGGTGCTGATGGTACTAAAGTTGTTGACGGTGCTGATGGTACTAACGGTGTTGACGGCGCTAATGGTGGCGACGGTGTTGACGGTGCTGATGGAACTCACAGTGTTGATGGTGCTGATGGTACTAACGGTGTTGACAGTGCTGATGGTACTAACGGTGTTGACGGTGCTGATGGTACTGACGGTGTTGACGGTGCTGATGGTACTGACGGTGTTGACGGTGCTGATGGTACTAACGGTGTTGACGGCGCTGATGGTACTCACGGTGTTGACGGTGCTGATGGTACTGACGGTGTTGACGGCGCTGATGGTACTCACGGTGTTGACGGTGCTGATGGTACTAACGGTGTTGACGGTGCTGATGGTACTAACGGTGTTGATGGTACTAATGGTGTTGACGGTGCTGATGGTACTCACGGTGTTGACGGCGCTGATGGTACTAACGGTGTTGACGGTGCTGATGGTACTAACGGTGTTGACGGTGCTGATGGTACTAACGGTGTTGACGGTGCTGATGGTACTGACGGTGTTGACGGTGCTGATGGTACTGACGGTGTTGACGGTGCTGATGGTACTAACGGTGTTGACGGTGCTGATGGTACTAACGGTGTTGATGGTACTAATGGTGTTGACGGTGCTGATGGTACTCACGGTGTTGACGGCGCTGATGGTACTAACGGTGTTGACGGTGTTGATGGTACTCACGGTGTTGACGGTGCTGATGGTACTAACGGTGTTGACGGTGCTGATGGTACTCACGGTGTTGACGGCGCTGATGGTACTAACGGTGTTGACGGTGCTGATGGTACTCACGGTGTTGACGGTGCTCATGGTACTCATGGTGTTGACGGTGCTGATGGTACTAACGGTGTTGACGGTGCTGATGGTACTAACGGTGTTGACGGTGCTGATGGTACTAACGGTGTTGACGGTGCTGATGGTACTAACGGTGTTGACGGTGCTGATGGTACTAACGGTGTTGACGGTGCTGACGATGCTAACGGTGTTGACGGTGCTGATGGTACTAACGGTGTTGACGGTGCTGATGGTACTAACGGTGTTGACGGTGCTGACGATGCTAACGGTGTTGACGGTGCTGACGATGCTAACGGTGTTGACGGTGGTGGGTGCCAGGTGGAGTGTCCCCCTGCGGATCTGTCCCCGCCGGTGGTGGTGGCCCAGACGCTGTCCCTGCTGAGGGACGTCCTCACCTCCCACGATGCCTCCGTGGTGCCCCTCGACGCCCGGCAGGCCGACTTCCAGCAGGCACGGGGTCACGCGGGGTCACGCGGGGTCACGCGGGGGTGGGAGGGGGGGGGACACGGGGGGGGGACATGGGGGGCACGAGGTCACGTGGGTGGAGACATGCGGAGAGACACGGGGAGGCATCGGAACACAGACAGACATGGAGACTCAGGGAGGCAAGGACACGCAAGGAGACGCGGAGATACGCCGGGAGACATCGGGGCACACAATGAGACAGAGGGACACAGGGAGACACAGAAATAGATGCATCTGAACGCCTAGTCACCTTCTCATGTCTCCCTGTGTCTCTCCCCTGCATCTTCCTCTTTCCCCGTGTCTGCATTGTCTGTGTCACCTTCCTCTACCACGTGTCTCTCCCACGTGTCTCCCTACCCTGTGTCTCCACGCCGTGTCGCCCCAGTGTCTCCCCTCCGTGTCTCCCCCACGTGTCTCCCCCACGTGTCTCCCCCACGTGTCTCCCCCAGGTGGTCTCGTGCCTGCTGGACCCTCTGCTCAACGTGTGCACCGTGTAACTCCCCACGTGTCTCCCCCACGTGTCTCCCCACGTGTCTCCCCCAGGTGGTCTCGTGCCTGCTGGACCCTCTGCTCAACGTGTGCACCGTGTAACTCCCCACGTGTCTCCCCCACGTGTCTCTACCACGTGTCTCTCACCCACGTGTCTCTCCCACGTGTCTCTCACCCACGTGTCTCTCCCCCACGTGTCTCCCCCACGTGTCTCCCCCACGTGTCTCCCCCAGGTGGTCTCGTGCCTGCTGGACCCTCTGCTCAACGTGTGCACCGTGTGTGCCAGCTCCCTGTCGGCCGTTCCCATGGCCGTCTTCCTCGTCAACTCCCTCTACGCCATGAGGGGGGCCCTGGCCCCCCACGAGTTCACCGAGCAGCGACTCGACCTCCTCCAGCTGCAGGTGACACCGGCAGGGGGGCGGGTTAACGTGTGTGTGTGTGTGTGTGGGGAGCGGTGGTAAAGACAAAGGTCCCCCATATAGCCTTAACATACTGTCGGGGCAAGTGCTGTTAGCGAGCAGCACCTGTGATGGTCGGCACGGCACACGAGGGGGTGGGTGGCCAGCACCACGCCCGGCCGCCTTTGTCTCCCCAGTGGCGACGTTTAGACATCGCGCCAGGTAACTCATTTAAGGTTGAGTCGACCTAGGGGAAGGCCTAAGAGCGGTTCCTGCTCACAGCCAACATCGGTAACAAATATCTGAGCGGTGCTGGTGCCCCTCCTAGGTCGACGCAGCCTGAAACGATCACCTGGTACGCTGTGTAAACTTTGGCACTTGGAGAGACAAAGGCGGCTGGGCGTGCGTGTTCTTTTTCTGGCCACATCCCATTGCGGGCCTTTACGTGATGCTTGCGAAAAGCACTTTACCCAACAGCCTGTGCAGGCTACACTGGGGGCGGGGATCTTTGTCTTTGTGGCCTCTCCTCCCTCCGGCTCCCTTCTCTCCCAAGGATTCTTCACATGTCGTTGGAACCTTGGAATGCTGTGCAGGAGCCGCGCCGGGCTAGCGCTGGGATGGGTGGCCACCAGCACGTACCGTGTGTGTGTGTGTGCGTGTGCCGTAGCTGTGATCCAAGGGGTGCAGAGCAAAGGGGGATTCGAGAGGTTTGGTCCGCTCATCGGATTCTCTGCACTCCCCCCCTCCGTGTGGTGCGGCGGTGGTTAGGAGATGTTAACACCCTCGCCTGGTATGCAGGAGGTTGTGGGTTCGATCCCAACCCCCGACGCCTGTTTGCGTGTCTCTCTCTCTCCCCGTGGCCGCGTGGATTTTTCTCCGGGCCCTACGATTTTTTCCCCCCCACGTTCAGAATCAAGATGCAAATTTCGATTTAAAGCTTTCGTGACTGCAAGGATTCATCTTCTTTGGTGCTTTCGGTAAGGTCACGTAGAATGAGAATAAAATAATGAAATAACACGATAAAATTCCTCACGACGTTTCGGCCACAACGGCCGCTTGCGTTGTGGCCGAAACGTCGTGAGGATTTTATCGTGTTATTTTATGATTTTATTCTCATTCTCCGTGACCTTACCGAAAGAACCAAAGAAGATGAATCAAGATGCATTTCGAGTATTTGGGCTGCGATAAATTTCCACGCGACGACGATGATGACGATGATGATGAAGACAAGCCACTTCGTTGAGCTGTCATTTGTGATGGCCAGAGTCGCTTCTGAAAAAACAGCTACGCAGCTCAGTGGGGCCTTGCCTGGTAAAAATAAAGGTAAAGTTTTTTGGGGTTTTTAGTTTCTCCCCCATTACTCTATTCTCCTTCCACTCTCTGACTCTCGGCACTTCGTCTCTCTCACACCCTCGCCTCGCTCTCTCAGATCGAGGCCCACCTGGACACGCTGGTGAACGAGCAGGCTTCGCTGATGCTGACACGTGCCGGCATGGCGGCCGTCTACAGCCGGGTCCAGCAGCACCGGCCCGAGCAGGTGACACGGCCTCACAGACTAGGCCTCACCAGCTAGGCCTCACAGACTAGGCCTCACCAGCTAGGCCTCACGAGCTAGGCCTCACAGACTAGGCCTCACCAGCTAGCCCTCACAGACTAGGCCTTACCAGCTAGGCCTCACGAGCTAGGCCTCACAGACTAGGCCTCACCAGCTAGGCCTCACGAGCTAGGCCTCACAGACTAGGCCTCACCAGCTAGGCCTCACCGACTAGGCCTCACAGACTAGGCCTCACGAGCTAGGCCTCACAGACTAGGCCTCACCAGCCAGGCCTCACCGACTAGGCCTCACCAGCTAGGCCTCACAGACTAGGCCTCACCGACTAGGCCTCACCAGCTAGGCCTCACCAGCTAGCTCTCACAGACTAGGCCTCACAGACTAGGCCTCACAGACTAGGCTTCACCAGCTAGGCCTCACCAGCTAGGCCTCACAGACTAGGCCTCACAGACTAGGCCTCACCAGCTAGGCCTCACCAGCTAGGCCTCACAGACTAGGCCTCACGGACTAGGCCTCACAGACTAGGCTTCACCAGCTAGGCCTCACAGACTAGGCCTCACCAGCTAGGCCTCACCAGCTAGGCCTCACAGACTAGGCCTCACCAGCTAGGCCTCACCAGCTAGGCCTCACAGACTAGGCCTTACCAGCTAGGCCTCACCAGCTAGGCCTCACAGACTAGGCCTCACGGACTAGGCCTCACAGACTAGGCTTCACCAGCTAGGCCTCACAGACTAGGCCTCACCAGCTAGGCCTCACCAGCTAGGCCTCACAGACTAGGCCTCACCAGCTAGGCCTCACCAGCTAGGCCTCACAGACTAGGCCTCACAGACTAGGCCTCACCAGCTAGGCCTCATAGACTAGGCCTCACCAGCTAGGCCTCACCAGCTAGGCCTCACCGACTAGGCCTCACTAGCTAGGCCTCACAGACTAGGCCTCACCAGCTAGGCCTCACGAGCTAGGCCTCACAGACTAGGCCTCACCAGCTAGGCCTCACCAGCTAGGCCTCACAGACTAGGCCTTACCAGCTAGGCCTCACCAGCTAGGCCTCACAGACTAGGCCTCACAGACTAGGCCTCACGGACTAGGCCTCACAGACTAGGCTTCACCAGCTAGGCCTCACAGACTAGGCCTCACCAGCTAGGCCTCACCAGCTAGGCCTCACAGACTAGGCCTCACCAGCTAGGCCTCACCAGCTAGGCCTCACAGACTAGGCCTCACAGACTAGGCCTCACCAGCTAGGCCTCACAGACTAGGCCTCACCAGCTAGGCCTCACCAGCTAGGCCTCACCGACTAGGCCTCACTAGCTAGGCCTCACAGACTAGGCCTCACCAGCTAGGCCTCACGAGCTAGGCCTCACAGACTAGGCCTCACCAGCTAGGCCTCACAGACTAGGCCTCACCAGCTAGGCCTCACGAGCTAGGCCTCACAGACTAGGCCTCACCAGCTAGGCCTCACCGACTAGGCCTCACCAGCTAGCTTTCACAGACTAGGCCTCACCGACTAGGCCTCACCAGCTAGGCCTCACAGACTAGGTCTCACCGGCTAGGCCTCACCAGCTAGGCCTCACCAGCTAGCTCTCACAGGCTAGGCCTCACAGATTAAGCCTCACAGGCTAGGCCTCACAGTCTAGGCCTCACCGGCTTGGCCTCACCAGCTAGGCCTCCAGACTAGCCCTCACAGACTAGGCCTCACCAGCTATGCCTCACAGACTAGGCCTCACAGACTCGGCCTCACCAGCTAGGCCTCACCAGCTAGGCCTCACATGCTAGGCCTCACAGACGAGGTTTCACAGGCTAGGCCTCACAAACTAAGCATCAACAGCTAGGCCTCACATGCTAGGCCTCACAGACTAGGCCTCACCGGCTAGGCCTCACAGACTAGGCCTCACAGACTAGGCTTCACCGGCTAGGCCTCACAGACTAGGCCTCACAGGCTATACCTCACAGGCTATACCTCACAGACTAGGCCTTACAGCCTAGCCATAACAGACTAGGCCTAACCAGCTAGGCCTTACAGATTAGGCCTCACAGAACAGGCCTGGCCGGCTAGGCCTCACAGGCTAGACTTGACAGACAAGGCCTGACCAGCTAGGCCTCACCGGCTAGGCCTCACAGACTAGGCCTCAGCAGCTAGGCCTCACAGGCTAGGCCTCACATGCTAGGCCTCACATGCTAGGCATCACAGATGAGGTTTCACAGGCTAGGCCTCACAAACTAGGCCTCAACAGCTAGGCCTCACAGGCTAGGCCTCACATGCTAGGCCTCACAGATGAGGTCTCAACGGCTAGGCCTCACAGATTAGGCCTCAGACTAGGCCTCACAGGCTAGGCCTCACAGGCTAGGCCTCACAGACTAGGCCTCACGGGCTAGGCCTCCCTGGCTAGGCATCACCAGCTAGGCTTCACAGACTAGGCCTAACCAGCTATGCCTCATAGATTAGGCCTCACTAGCTAGGCCTCACAGACTAGGCCTAACCAGCTATGCCTCATAGATTAGGCCTCACCAGCTAGGCCTCACAGACTAGGCCTCACCGACTAGGCCTCACCAGCTTGGCCTTACAGACTAGGCCTCACCAGCTAGGCCTCACAGACTAGGCCTCACAAGCTAGGCCTCACGAGCTAGGCCTCACCAGCTAGGCCTCACCAGCTAGGCCTCACCAGCTAGCTCTCACAGACTAGGCCTCACAGACTAAGCCTCACCAGCTAGGACTCACAGACTAGGTCTCACAGGCTAGGCCTCACAGACTAGCCCTCACAGACTAGGCCTCACCAGCTATGCCTCACAGACTAGGCCTCACAGACTCGGCCTCACCAGCTAGGCCTCACCAGCTAGGCCTCACAAACTAGGCCTCACATACTAGGCAACACCAGCTAGGCCTCACCAGCTAGACCTCACATGCTAGGCCTCACAGACGAGGTTTCACAGGCTAGGCCTCACGAACTAGGCATCAACAGCTAGGCCTCACATGCTAGGCCTCACAGACTAGGCCTCACCGGCTAGGCCTCACATGCTAGGCCTCACAGACGAGGTCTCACTGGCTAGGCCTCACAGATTAGGCCTCAGACTAGGCCTCACAGGCTAGGCCTCACAGACTAGGCCTCATTGGCTAGGCCTCATCGGCTAGGCATCACCAGCTAGGCTTCACAGACTAGGCCTAATCAGCTATGCCTCATAGATTAGACCTCACCAGCTAGGCCTCACAGACTAGGCCTAACCAGCTATGCCTCATAGATTAGGCCTCACCAGCTAGGCCTCGCAGACTAGGCCTAACCAGCTAGGCCTCATAGATTAGGCCTCACCAGCTAGGCCTCACAGACTAGGCCTCACAAACGAGGCCTCACAGACTAGGCCTCACAGACTAAGCTATACATTTCCACATGGTAAGCCACTTTGTTGAGCTATCATTTGTGTCCAGGTCGCTTCTGAAAAATAAGTTAATACCTCAGTGTGCTTTACCTGCTAAGATAACAATGTTTAGTTTTATTTGTAAATATGTTTAAGTGATTTGTTTACCTCTCTTATACTTTGCACTCCTATCGTGTTTTTGTATTGTTTGTTGCTGTAACATGTTGACCCACCCCTACTTGGACATCTGTGAAAAAGAGCGTTATAGCTCATCCGATTCCACCAGCGTAAATAAATATTCTGATTCTGACTACGCCTCGCAGACTCGGCCTCACCAGGTAGGCCTCACTGACTAGGCCTCACAGACCAGGCCTCATCATCACCATCTTTCACCACTATCACCACCATCATCTGGCTTTAGGTCTTCTCTTCCCCTTGGTTGCCAACCTTCTGGGTTTTCTCCGCCCCTTGCCATCTGGGTCACCCATCACACCCTGAACCCCAACCTCCAAGCTGCTCATCCCATCCTACTCCACCATCCCCACGTGTCCCTGCCCATCTCAGCCTCCTCCTCTGATTACCAACCTCCCGAGTTGTTTACCCATCCCTTGGGTCTCGCCTACTTCCCCTTTCCTGGTATACAGGAGGTTGGGGGTTCGATTCCGACCCCGACTCCTGTATTTTTGGAGTTTGCGTGTCTCTCCCTCTCTCTCTGTGGTCGTTTTGTCTTTTTCTCCACAATTAGAAACATGCATTTAGAGCATTTGGCCGCTGTCAATTTCCACGTGATGAGCCACTTCGTTGACCTGTCATTCATGTGTGGCCCCGCTCAGCGGTCCTTACCTGGTGAAATAAACATAAACGTTTACAATCTCATGGCAGGGGTTAGTCAATACGGAGAAAGGCCAGCCGCTGTTGACTTGGCACAGAGTGGTACTCCGTTTTTTATTCACCGCGGAGGGATATTGGACGGGATGATGGTGGGCGAGTGTTAACCGTGAGTGATGTTGTTGCGATTCACGTTTCAGGGCCCCCTGTCTCAAATACCGGGGATGGATGAGTCCTCTGTGAAAGCGGCCATGGTGAGACATCGTCATCGTGATCATCACAAGCCTAATCATCATCATCATGGTCATCATCATCGCCATCAACATTATAGTAATCATAATCATCATTGTCATCACAAGCATAGTCGTCATCATCATCGTCATCATCATTGTCATCACAAGCCTAATCATCATCATCGCCATCAACATTATAGTAATCATAATCATCATTGTCATCACAAGCATAGTCGTCATCGTCATCATCATTGTCATCATCATCGTCATCATTGTCATCACAAGCACAGTCATCATCATCGTCATAGTCATCATCGTCATCATTGTCATCACAAGCATCGTCATATTCGTCAGCATTACCACAAACATTGTCAGCGTTATCACACACCGCTTCGTAATTATCGCACTCAAACGCATGTCATCTTTATTATCATAATTACAAGCATCGTCACGGTCATCATCGTCATCACCACCACCATCATCAGCATCACAAATATCGTCATCAGCATTATCAGAAACATAATCACGAGCAGCATTGTCATCATTATCAACGCAGACATCATTATCATGACAATCACGATCACAATTATCATGATCATTTTCGTGAGCATTATCACATCACCATCACCCAAAATGTCAGCAGTGCTGGCTCAATGTTTGTGACAGGGCCATGATGAACCTTCAGAGAGAGAGAGAGAGACACACACAGACACAGAGACCCAGGGCTCGAACCCAGGATCTCGGCGGTACATGCTCATCACCCAAAAACCTTTATTATGAATCATCACCTCCGATTAGCACGGTTGGCTACGTGCGGTGCGAAATAAATGCAACTTACATACACACGTACATCTCTGACCCCCCACCCCCATGCAGGTCCAGTTCTCTCGGTACCTCTCATCTCCTGACTCGCACACCCTCCCGCAGCTGCAGCTGCTGCACAGCTCCAGCCTCAAGTACGTACGGGCTCACGTCGCACACGCGTGTCACGTGTGTCACGTGTGTCACGTGTCACGCGCTCTCGCTCACGTCGCACGCGCCGTACGTTCGTTCCATGGGCAATGGCGAAGAGGTGAGGCTTCAGGAGAGGAACTGAAGGAGGCTGAGGAGGGCGCCTGCTTCATGTACAGGGCACCGGGCGCTGGTTACCTCCCCGGGGTCAAATCATTCTCCACAGAGCAGCCGGCGCGGCGCATGAAACACATCGGCCGCCGGGGAGGCCAAGGCGGCCGGGGAGGCCAAGGCGCACGCCACCCCCGGCCCTCCGTGGGCGCTGCTCCTCGCTCACGGCCCGCGTGAGCTACACGGGGGACCTTTGTCTGTGCGCGCAGGGAGGTGGTCTGCGCGCGAGCCGCGGCGCTCGTGAGCACGGCCTACGCCGAGGTGTACGACGCGGTCCATCGCCTCGACAGCCGCTACGGGGACGCCGTCACCGCGGCCGGCATGCAGCCCACGCCGCAGCAGGTGCGGGCGCTCCTCCTGTGAGCCGGAGAGGCGCCGACACCGGCGCCCAGCGCCGTGGGCGGAATCCACCGCCGCCACCGCCGCCGCCGCCGCCGCGGTGCGAAATCCACCACCAACGCTGCTACCGGCGGAGTTTGCCGAGAGCGGTGGTGGTGGTGGTGGTGGTGGATTTTGTCGGCCGTGGTCACCACCAACGTGATTCACCACCACCGTGGGCTGACACCACCACCACCACCACCACCGGCAGACTCCACCACCGGTGGATTCCACCACCAACACCACCGGTGGACTCCACCACCAACACCACCGGTGGACTCCACCACCAACACCACCGGTGGACTCCACCACCAACACCACCGGTGGACTCCACCACCAACACCACCGGTGGACTCCACCGCTACCGGCAGATTCTTCCACCACCAACGGCTTCCTCCGGACGACTCTGCCACCGTTGGTGGACCGCGCAGCGATCAGCCGACTTCCATCATCAGGATCTTCCTGCAAAGGCAGGCGGCTCCCAATGGTTGACTCTCACCTGATTCTCACACCACCAGGGAGTCCCCACCACCACCAACGAAACGATTCCACAGCCGCCGTTCGCCACTAAGCGACGGTGACGTCACCACGGCGCCTGTGCCGGGCCAGGTGGCACTCTGAGGCCATCGCACGGAGTGTCGAAGGCTCGCCGGCAGGAGGTCACCGGACAGACCCAGGTCGTGCCATGGGTTGGTTTGATCACCACCAGCACCACCATGGTGCTAACCATTGCTCCGCAACTCCACCCCACTGTTGTACAATATTCATGTTTGTATTCTTATGATGATTCACACAGAGAGACCCATAGACTCACGCAGAGACCCATAGACTTACACAGAGTCCCATAGACTTACACAGAGACCCATAGACTTACACAGAGACCCATAGACTCACACAGAGACCCATAGACTTACACAGAGACCCATAGACTTACACAGAGACCCATAGACTCGCGCAGAGAGCCATAGACTCACACAGAGACCCATAGACTCACACAGAGACCTATAGACTCGCGCAGAGACCCAAAGACTCACACAGAGACCCAAAGACTCACACAGAGAGACCCGTAGACTCGCGCAGAGACCCATAGACTTACACAGAGACCCATAGACTCACACAGAGACCCATAGACTTACACAGAGACCCATAGACTCACACAGAGACCCATAGACTCACACAGAGACCCATAGACTTACACAGAGACCCATAGACTCGCGCAGAGAGCGATAGACTCACACAGAGACCCATAGACTCACACAGAGACCTATAGACTCGCGCAGAGACCCAAAGACTCACACAGAGACCCATAGACTCACACAGAGACCCGTAGACTCGCGCAGAGACCCAAAGACTCACACAGAGACCCATAGACTCACACAGAGACCCGTAGACTCGCGCAGAGACCCATAGACTTACACAGAGACCCATAGACTCACACAGAGACCCATAGACTCACACAGAGACCCATAGACTTACACAGAGACCCATAGACTCGCACAGAGACCCATAGACTCAAACAGAGACCCATAGACTCACAGAGACCCATGGACTCGCACAGAGACACATATACTCACACAGAGACCCATAGACTCACACAGAGACCCATAGACTCACACAGAGACCCATAGACTCGCACAGAGACCTATAGGCTCACACAGAGACCTATAGACTCACACAGACCCATAGACTCGCACAGAGACACATAGACTCGCACAGAGACCCATAGACTCACACAGAGACCTGTAGACTCACACAGAGACCCGTAGACTCACACAGAGACCTGTAGACTCACACAGAGACCCATAGACTCACACAGAGACCCATAGACTCTCACAGAGACCCATAGATTCTCACAGAGACCCAGAGACTCACACAGAGACCTGTAGACTCACACAGAGACCCATATACTCACACAGAGCCCCATAGACTCGCACAGAGACCCATAGACTCGCACAGAGACCTATAGACTCACACAGAGACCCATAGACTCACACAGAGACCCATAGACTCGCACAGACACCCATAGACTTGCACAGAGACCCATAGACTCAAACAGAGACCCATAGACTCAAACAGAGACCCATAGACTCACAGAGACCCATAGACTCGCACAGAGACACATAGACTCACACAGAGACCCATAGCCTCACACAGAGATCCATAGACTCGCACAGAGACCCATAGACTCGCACAGAGACCTATAGACTCACACAGAGGTCCATAGACTCTCACACAGACCCATAGACTCGCACAGAGGCACATAGACTCGCACAGAGACCCATAGACTCGCACAGAGACACATAGACTCACACAGAGATCCATAGACTCTCACACAGACCCATAGACTCGCACAGAGGCACATAGACTCGCACAGAGACCCATAGACTCGCACAGAGACACAGACTCACACAGAGACCCATAGACTCACACAGAGACCCGTAGACTCACACAGAGACCCGTAGACTCACACAGAGACCCGTAGACTCACACAGAGACCCATAGACTCACACAGAGACCCATAGACTCACACAGAGACCCATAGACTTACACAGAGACCCGTAGACTCACACAGAGACCCGTAGACTCACACAGAGACCCGTAGACTCTCACAGAGACCCAGAGACTCACACAGAGACCCGTAGACTCTCACAGAGACCCATATACTCACACAGAGACCCATAGACTCACACAGAGACCCGTAGACTCTCACAGAGACCCATAGACTCACACAGAGACCCGTAGACTCTCACAGAGACCCAGAGACTCACACAGAGACCCATAGACTCGCACAGAGACCCGTAGACTCACACAGAGACCCATAGACTCGCACAGAGACCCATAGACTTACACAGAGACCCATAGACTCTCACACAGACCCATAGACTCACACAGAGGCACATAGACTCGCACAGAGACCCATAAACTCACACAGAGACCCATAGACTCACACAGAGACCCACAGACTCACACAGAGACCCATAGACTCGCACAGAGACCCATAGACTCACACAGAGACCCATAGACTTACACAGAGACCCATAGACTCACATAGACGGGGTGCTGATCACGCAAACGTCTCTGGTGTCGCGAGTTAATAGTCTCAGGCTGGTCACCAGGGCACCACGGCGGCTATGAGATGTTAACTACCTCGCCTGGTGTGCAGGAGGTCGTTGGTTCGATGTTTGACCCCGATGCCTGCTGCTGCGTATTTGGAGTTTGTGTGTTCTTCCCGTGGTCACGTGGATTTTTCTCCGGGTCCTCCGGTTTCTGGCTCCTATAAATGTCGACCTGATGAAGCCACTTCGTTGCACTCTCATTTGTGATAGCCTGGGTCAAATTCTGAACCAAGGAGCTTCACAGCTCAGCGGGGCCTTACCTGGTGAAATAAAACATTGTTTTTAGCGTTAGTTTAGTTTGGATCGCACGAAATAATATCACGTCCCACGTGGAATCTTCGCTCCCACCGGCCAGATTTCATCCGCAGCATTCTGGGCTCCGTTACCGCCTGCGCTGACGAGCGTTACTCTCCGCGGCAGGGTGGAGAGTGACGCTCGACCGTGCGTGGCCCAGAGGTCATCGGCACAGATCTCACAGGCTGCTTCGTCACGCTCCGTTCGGTGTGGCAATCATAATCGTCCACCGTCATCATCATCATCACTCAATAATAAAGGTCTTTGGGTTAGATCGCGTTTATTTATAAATGTGTCGTAACCCTCCACCACCCGACACGGCCAATCAGCAAAAAAAAGTGTCACGTTGACAAAAAGACAATTCACTACTTTAGCCCACCGGTGTGTTGAAGAGTGAATCCACATTTACGTCGTACTCAAACTGTAAATGTGGATTCACTCTTCAACACACCGGTGGGCTAAAGCAGTGAACTATTTTGTCTTTTTGTCAACGTGACACTTTTTTTGCTGATTGGCCGTGTCGGGTGGTGGAGGGTTACGACACATTTATAAATAAACGCGATCTAACCCAAAAACCTTTATTATGAATAATATTGGTCGCGAAAGCCTACGTGTTAAACTGATCATCATCATCACTGTCGTCGCCATCATCACCAACGTCGTCATCGCCGTCGTCATCACCATAATCCACCATCACCACGACCATCATCGTCGTCATTGCCATCGTCGTCATCACCGTCATCACCGTCATCACCACCATCATCATCATCATCAGCCGTGGTCAATCCACTGCTGGGTGAAGGCCTCCCAAACTCACCGTCCCCTTCCTTAAACCTCCATCCGGTCCTCTCTCTCTCTTCTCTCTCAGCCTCACCTCCACTCCCTTCCTCTTCCCTCTCCTCGCCCCTCCACTCCGTCACCTCCCTCCCCTAGGGGGCATTCCATGACCCCCTCCCCTGCCGTGTGTGCTCATTCCTCGGCCCTACTGGACATCGGTGGGAAAGAGCTTTATAGCTCATCGGATTCCTCCAGTATAAATAAATATCCTGATTCCGACCCTATTTTGTTACCGATTTTTAGCGATGTTATAGAAGCGCGCCTTAAGCTGCAGCAGAATGCGCGCCCCCGAAATATAAGATGAGATCCTGTGATGTAACAAAGACTCCCCGTGTAGCCTTTAACAGACTGTTGGGGCAAGTGCTGTTAGCGAGTAGCAGCACCTGTGAAGACCGGCACGGCACACGAGGGGGTGGGTGGCCAGCACCACGCCCGGCCGCCTTTGTCTCCCCCAGTGGCGATGTTTACTACGCACCGCACCAGGCATTCATTTGAGGCCGAGTCGACCTAGGAGAGGCGTCACCGGTGTTGGTGGCCGTGGGCGGGAATCGAACCCGGGTCGCCGGGTTCGTAGCGCTAACCGCTGTGCCAGCACTTGCCGACAGGAGGACTCCACGTGGTCATTCCCCGTCATCGTCCGTCGGACTCTCTCTGTCACACACACACACATGCAGGGTGAGAGATGCACGTGGGGTGGTTCGTGCTGGCGCGTCTGGTGGTCTATCAGTGCTGGTGTCGCGTCAGAGTGTGTGTGTGTACGACTGTCAGTATTGGTGTACGTGTGTGTGTGTGAGGGTGTGTGTGTGTGACTGTCAGTATTGGTGTACGTGTGTGAGGGTGTGTGTGTGTGTGACTGTCAGTATTGGTGTACGTGTGTGTGTGTGAGGGTGTGTGTGTGAGGGTGTGTGTGTGTGTGTGACTGTCAGTATTGGTGTACGTGTGTGTGTGTGAGGGTGTGTGTGT